CTATAACATTTCCAGTCAATCAATTAGGAAATTTATATGTATAGGATGATTATATTGGGTTGGTCACTTATCAATTAGCTGTTCAAACCAAAGACTGGAAAAGAAAAACCTTTTGACTTTCTATAGTTTGGATCTTTAATGTCTCCCAAAGGCCCATGTGTTTAAAGATTTGACCCCAGGCTGGCACTATTAGGAAGCAATAGAATCTTTTGAGAGGTAGCCTAGGGGATGCTTTTTAGATCATTAAGGTGTGCCCCTGCAAGGGATTGTGGAACTGCAGCCCCTACTTGCTCTTCTGGTTTCCTGGCTCGCGATGAGGTGAGCAATTGAGTTTTGCCATGTGCTTTCCACAAATGCCACCCAGCACCCAAACTAGAGGCCTAAAGCAATGGGGCTGCATAGTCTAGGCTAAAACCCATGAAACTGTAGGACAAAATAAACCTAAGTTGGTTATCTCAGGTGCTTGTTATAGTGATGGAAAACTGACTATCAAATGACTGCGAGTTTTTCTGTCCACACTTGGGAAGAATCCTTCCCACGTAGCTCTTGCGTGGATGGCATCAATTAAAGCACAGTCCTTCATAGCATTAAGCACTAGAAACAGTCACCTATCAGTTAAATCACACTCTTACTGATGCTTGAGCTTTCATTGTAACAATTAAAAGACTGTATTCTCCCATAGGTCAGGTGTTCCCTTCTGTGTAGTGGCTGATCTCAAGATTGATACAGAAAGGGGCAGTAGTTATCAGTTTCTAAATTCTCAACCAGCTTTAGTACTATCTTAAATAATAATAAAGTCTGTTCAATGAGTCTTTGCACATGCCAGACAGCAAGATAGATGTTTCACTAACAACTTTTCTTTTAAATTGCCTAACAACCCTATGCAATAGGTTGTATTGTATTAGCTGGAGTTTAAAAATGTTATTAACCTCTCAAGATCTAAAACTGGTACAGAACTGAAATTTAGCTATCAAAACCAATACTTTTAAATTATTTATATATATGTTCTTTAAAATTTTTTAAATGGTGGAACTAATCACTGTGAGGGTGGTAAATGGCCATGCTTCTATTATTAGTCAGTGAATCTAAAATATTGAACCCAGCCTGAAAATTCACTCATTATGTGAGCTTTTCTTTTTGGTCAATCCTTTGTATTCTTAAAAAGTTATTTATGTGCTATCTATAATGCAACCTCTACACATAAGGCTCAGGGAACATCACAGACAAGGGGGCAGAAAGAATGTAAGAGCCAGAGGAACAAGACAGCTGCCACTACTCAATGCATTCTAGACACAATAGGGACGCTGCACCAATGAAATCTCTACGTATGGTAGTCTGAGATCTGCATAATGACAAAACGAGTTGGCATACCAAGGTAGATGGGGGAATGTCACATGGTCCCTCAAGATGAAGAGCTACAGGCAATCAATGGATGCAGAGAGAGGGCGAATCAGTTTTCTCCAGGGACTAGCTGCCTGACGGGCTATCTAATCCCAAGTGGGAAGCCCTAAACACAGGTACACACAAGCACCACTAAATGAACTCAATGCATTATAAATATATATATGTATATCTATAAATGTATGTATATGTAACAATAATAAAGAAAAAGACAAGAAATTAGGTGGGAGCGGAGGGCTATGGGAGTTGGTGGGGGACTGGGAGGGATGGAAATAGTTCAAAGACAATATTCACGTATGAAGTTCTCAAAAATAAAAATACATAAAATAATACAAACAAAACTCATCTACAAAAAGTTATTTATATAATTTTATTTTCAAGTTTTCTTACAATTAGATTACCTGAAAAAATAATTGATTTGTGTCTGCTTGAGGTTAATAAGTAGATAAAATTGTTAACTAATAGTCTAATGTATAGACTATTTAGTGATTTTCTTACCTTTGGCAACCATGCAATAAAATGCTATAGCAAAAAAGAATAGAAATACAACTCATGAAAGCATTAATTAGTGGTTCCTTATTCCTCAGACTGCAAATGAAAAAACATGAGTTATACACAGTAAAATATTCGACCATTAGCTCTCAAAAAGATCCAGGTGCACTCTAATCAAGCTTTAGCTCCCACAGCTCCCACATACAGTATGATTTTATTGCAAGAGGAGAGGTAAGATGGGCAAGTAAGCACATGGAGAAGAAACCCAAAACCTCATCAGAGGCTGCACTACCAGCCCAGAGACAGGGCACCGGCTAGAGGGTGGAGCAGAGCAGATCCAAGCAATGTCATTTGTGGTTTCCACCATTCACTGGTGCAGAATTATCTAGTTTGAAGTGGCACAAGCCTGAATCCCAGCAGTGTCTTCGCACTCCTCTGACTGATCATCTCTTGAGAACAAGCTCTCATCTAACAGCCCAGGACACTCAATGCTCCCTTCTCTGTCCTCAAGGCAGGAGTGGGAGACTGAGACTTTTTATTGGGTGATGTTGGAGACGGCTTAGAGACTGTAGGCTGATGTTAGTGTCACAAAGAAGCAGGATTATTGGGAATCTACTGAGCCAACATGGTAGAGGAACACACTACCCCATTTCAGAATATAAATAAGTGGCTCAGCAGTGGTGAGTGCTTGCTACTCTTCCAGAGAACCAGAGTTTGGTTCCTAGTACCCATATCAGGTGGCTCACAATCACCTTTAACTCCAGTTCCAGGGGATCTGACAATGTCCTCTTCTGGACTCTGCAGATGGACTCTGCAGATATCTGTGTACAAATGACAGAGAGAAAGAGAGAGAGAGAGAGAGAGAGAGAGAGAGAGAGAGAGACAGACAGACAGACAGACAGAGAGACAGAGAGAAATAAAATAAATCTGTACAAGAAAAAAAGTTCCATGTACAAAGTCAAGTGTAGTGAACACCTGGTACAAAGTCAAGTGTAGTGAACACCTGCAATCCCAACACTTGGGAGGTAGAGGCAGGAGGATCAGGAGTTCAGGGAGTTCAGGAGTTTGGCTATATAGTGAGTTCAAAGCCTACCTGAGCTATGTGAGACCCTATCCCAATAAACAAAAAAGTGTTGTGTACAGGTAGAGAGCATCAGAACTGGATGAGAACTTAGAGATCATCCAGTTTACCCTTCTGTAACAGAGACCCAGAGAGAAACAGACTAGGCCTGGAAAGAGGGCCTGGTCAGCTTGAACCAGAGATGAGATGTTCTGAATGTTTTTCTTTCTTGCACTTTCTTTTTTGCAAAAGTTTAATTTCTAAGACATTTTTTAAAAGCTACACTAAATAAAAAAAAAGAAAACATACCTCATAGAAATGAGGAATTTCTAACAATTTGCAAACAAAAACATTTCAGCAATGTTTCTAAACATTATTTTGAAAATAACAGCATATCAGGTTTTTTTAAGTTTAAAAAATCAGCAATGCACTTATACTTTTTGAAGGCTTATAATAATTCCTTTATGCATTAAATATCACGCTAAAAACAAAACAAAGAAGATGAACAACAAAACATAAGACTTTGTAAATGATAGGATCCTGTGGTGTTGGCACATTAAGTCTCCCGAAGCTGCAGGGTGGCCTGTGGGAACCCAGCAAAGACAGGAAGTGGCTGAGAACAGGTGCATACAGCCTTAATGCATCTGAGAGGTGGTGCAAGTCAGAAGGTTTCATCCTTATCTACTTACAGCCTCTCAGTATAGCAATTTGAGGGTTAAATAAACACACGTGTGCCTGTGCATGTGTGCATTTGTGCATGCATGTGAGTGTGTGCACGCGCGCAAAATTTTCACACAAAGTCTCAATTTAGAGGTCAATTTTCATTTTATTTTATTTTTTGTGGTGCTGGGCATCAAACCCAAAGTCTGACACAAGATGGGCAAGTGCTCTACCACTGAGCTACATCCCTAGCTAGAACAGGTCTATTTTTACTTAGAACATTCATGAAGTTATGTACGTATTAATTAAATCTGAGAAATATCCAGGAAAAATGTCAAAAATCAATGCAAATATTATACTCTGAAGAACTTATTGCTGTAAAATAATTTATTTAAATATTACTGAGCCAATCAGCGATAAGAATCTAAGTCTCCTCAACCAAGTCTGCAGCTATGTTATACTACCAACACCGGCAGCACTGGCCAGGGAGCTCTTTCTTTGGAGGTAGACTTTCTCTAGTCCTTCCTCAAGTCATACTAAGTTGAACAGAAAGCCCAGTTTTAGCTTTCTTAGAAGTTTCTAATAGCTCACAGTAATACACCAAAGTTAAGTATTTGTGAGAGTAAGTTAGTTTATGGCCATACAATACAGTGAAGACATGTTTTAAATGGTTGTGGGAAAGCCTCAGAGGTTCCTGGGCAGTTTCTCTTCCACAGGGACTCCAGGGACTGCTCAGACACAGTAGCAGAACGCAGCCAGCATTGTCACACAAGTCCAGCCTTCTTTCCCTTTGACAACCGAGGAACTGATATTCTGTGCAACTGTGGCTGTCCTGCCCATTCTTGCAGGAATATTTTATTGTTGGAACATTTAGAAGTGGAAGAAAAGGCATCCAGTTGCTCAGCATTTCTCTAACAATCACTGCAGTGTGGACTCTCTACAGCACTCTTGTGGGTGATTCCAATAGCTTCATGTCAATCACCCATATCGCACCAACACGACTCACAAGATTCTGTTCTCCACATCTGCTCTCTCTAGGCTTCCATTCCCTTTACAGTTTCTCAGGCCTTTAAGAAACCTCATGCTGGCCTTGGTGGCATACACCTCAAGAGGCAGAGGCAGATGGATCTCTGTGAGTTCAAGGCCAACCTTGTCTACATAGAGAGTTCTAGGCCAGTCAGGGTTATATAGTGAGACCTTGTCTCAAAAAAAAGAAACTTTAATTCTGGGGAAATATAAGTTTTTAGCACCACTTTATATATGTCAAGATGGATTTACACAAGTGTTTGTGGTAGGGTTTTGTCTGGTTTTTTTTTTTTTTTTTTTTTTTTTTTTTTTTTTCCCCTGTCTCCCTGTAGACAACCCATCTCTGAGAAAGCTAAGCAGGATGCTACCACTGGGATGGAAGCTCAGCCTAGATACATTTACTTGAAAATTCAGATTAAAACATTTAAAGACCGCCTTTAATCCCAGCACTCAGGAGGCAGAGGCAGGCGGATCTCTGTGAGTTCAAGGCCAGCCTGGTCTAAATAGTGAGTTCCAGGGCAGCTGGGGCTACAGGGAGACCCTGTCTCAAAAAGACTAGAAAAAAAATTTTTTAAGACCTCATAAAGAGGTACTAATGGAACATTCAAATAAAATCTTTATAGGACTCCAGGAGAGCTAGATATTAAATAAATAAAAAGCTGTTTCTCATTAAGTATTGACTTCAGCAAACACTTTATCCTCTAACACTTTTACACTGCTTCTGTTCAATCAACTGCAGAACTTGATGAAAAAGTTGAGTGGCGGGCTCTGTAATAGGGTAACAGAGTGGAAGCCTCTTTTCCAAGGCTGGCATGTGAATAAAGTACCTACGAATCATGAAAAAATAAATAAATAAAATTGCTTTAAGAATAAGAATTTTTACATTAGCACATTGAGTACATTCACATAGGTGAATCTAAGCCACAAGACTCATCATTTTCAGCCCTCCAATCTCCCATACTTGTGACCTTGAAAATCTTTGCTATGTATGCCTTCAGAGTGCTGAAGCACTTTACTTCAGAAGGGAGGTGAACTGTTTTAACGGTGGATCACCCAGCAGGGCACTGCTAAGGAAGGCAGAACTGTCCTCCCCACAGCTTGTGCAGAGGATGCCGCTGCTTGGTCCCTCAGACAGTGCACAGTAGGGAGTTGGCATGAGGGCCACGCTGTGATCACCACTCAGGGCCAGTCAAGAGCAAAGGGTAGAGCTTATCTCCATGGCCTCCATACAGATAAAGGAGAGTCTGGTGAGAAAGCCTTCTGCCATCCCCTTGGATGGCTTCAAAGACTGTTTCTCAGCCCCAGGTGGACATCAGAATCACCTAGAGAACTTTTAGAGAATATTGCTGATCAGGCCCACCCCAGGCAAAGCAAAACAGAAAGTCCACCTGAGACCAGACCTGGGTCAGTATTATGCCTAGCTACTCAGGTGATCCTAACGCAAAGCAAGTTGAAAACCACTGGCTTAAAATAAGGACCACAAACCTAACTGTCCCCAAGTAATGAAAACTGGAGAGGCAGGAAAAGCAACGGCAGCAAAGCAACAACACAGGATCCCCTAGGCCTGGTCCTGCTGGATGCTCCAGCCAGCTGTCATTATCCAGGTCAGTTGTTCTGATTTTTAAAAGTTTATAAATGGATTCTAAAAATTAGGCTAGGCATAGTGGCACATGCCTGTAATTCTAGCACTCAGACTGAAGCAAGAGGGTTGCCATGAGTTCAAAACTAGCTTAAGCTACATAGTGAGTTCCAGACCAGCCTGTGCTGCATAGCAAGACCTTGTCTCAAAAGGAAAAGAAAGGGGAGGGGGGGTGTTCTACACATGCTACAGCGTGGATGAGCCCTGAAGTATTAAAGATACCAAACAAAATGTCATGTACTGGATGATTCAGTTCAGACAACTGTCCAGAAGAGACAAATTCACCAAGACAGATCAGTGGTTGCCAAAGGCTGGGGAGAGGGGAGAGCAAGAAGGGCCTGCCTAATGAGTACTGCTTATGTTTTGGGATAACAAGAATGTTCCACAGTTCAATAGTGACGGTGGTAAAACATTGTGAAACGTATTCAAAGCTCCCAAATTATACACTCTAAAACAGTGAATTTCATGCTATGTCAGCTTTTCCTAATGAAAAGGAAAAGGAAGTGAGAAGACAGGAGTGGGAGGTGCTGGAATGGGTTGTGGGACCAACTCAGAGCCAACTAGATCCCTTTCATGGTATCCAGAATGGACCCTCTGCTGTATGTAATACCACATACAGGAAAAACAGAGTCTACAAAGGAGGCTGACTTCATTCCTTTTTAAGCCAATATAAAGCCATAATGTATGCCTCCACATCCTTTGATGTCTCCCTCCAAACTAGTGGCAGAGCCTGGCAGCCTGCACCCTCTTCTTTTAAGGCAAACATTACCTGGGTTTTTCCTTAATAGGTGCTAATGCAGGCTGTACTGCTAAGTGCACTTGGCTTTGCTAGCCTTTAAATAGATGTGGAACCCCTGGGGGGTCCAGCAGGCTGCCTCAGGAAACCAGTACTGCTCTTCCTTAGTGTTCTGTTAATGGAAGTGTAAGAAGGGCAAATGAAACAAATCAAATAAAATCCCCAATGTGCTCGTTGTTTCTCTTCATTGATCGATTTTTTTTCCTCCAATGACTAACTTGAATTCACAGTCCATAATCTATCATCCTCTTCGAAGGGTTTGTTACCCCAAATAAACCATTACTCTTCTGTGCATTGTAGACCCCCCCCCCCCAAGAAAGACAGTGAGTGAGAAGCAGTTCTTCTGAGTCTGATGTTTCATAAGTCATTCCAGGCCTGGGAATGCTCATCAAATGGCAATAGTTTTTAGAATTCCCCCAAATTTCACCTTACCTATGACCAAGATAAAGTATTATTAAAAAAAGAAAAAAATTGGAACTTTCCATCACCACCAAATCTTCTAAATTGTGGTTCCTGCTGCAGGTTTCCGTGAAAATGAGAAAGAGAAGCTTTAGTGCAGATTTGCACACGCTTTTCCTACCTGAATTCCTCACTGTAGTCATTCCGAATACACTCGGCTAGAGTCTTGCTGTACTGCAGGCAGCTCTTGAGGATGTAGAATTGCTGGTACATTAGAACTGCTTGGCAGGGGCTCAGCAGCGGGAGTGAAGCTGAAAGGCCCTTCACCACTCCTTTCACAATGCTGGCCACAAAAGCCACCTAGCGGAGGACAATGCAGTTGTGGGTGGCCGCGTGCCCCCACAGCACCTACTTCACGTGTCCGCGTGCCCCCACAAGCACCTACTTCACGTGTCCGCGTGCCCCCACAAGCACCTACTTCACGTGGCCGCGTGGCCCCCACAAGCGCCTATTTCAGATGCAGCCTCAGTTGCAGATGTAGGCTAAGCCCTCAGCACCCTTCTGTCAATGTCTGTGGGTATTTCTCTCTGAAATGTACTCAGCACATGATCACAAGGCAATCAGTAATTAAAATTTTAATTTCCTGGGTTGGAGGGATGGCTCAGGAGTTAAGAACACTGATTGTTCTTGCAGGAGACCGGGGTTCGAATCCTAGCACCCACATGGCAGTTAACAACTGTCTGTAACTCCAGTTCTGGGGATCCCACAGCTCTTCTGTCCTCTGCGCTCACTACACGACACGTGTGAACTTACCTACATGCAGGCATAACACGCATACACATAAAATAAAAAATAATAAATAAAATATTAAAAATAAATAAATGAAATTTTAATTTCTTTAGCATCTTGGTTTTTAATTTCCTTTTTAAATTACTTATTATGGGGGGAGGGGCGGCTGTGCATGCATGCCACAGTGTGCATGTCGAAATCAGTGGCCAACTTGCAGGAGTTAGTTCTTATTTTATACTATGGAGATCCTGAGGATCCAACTCAGATTGTCAAACTTGGTGGCCTTTTACCTGATGAACCATCTCCTCAGCCCTTAGCACCTTGGTTTTACCACATAAGATAATCAGAGCTGGCTGAGTATTGACACATTCAGCGACTCTACCCCCTCAACAGTTTCTTTGCTTGCAGATTTTTCTGGAATGGTCTGCTGCTGCCCATTCTGTCAGCCTTTAGAACCCAGCGTTAGTTTTACTGTTAGTGTTCCCTTGCCTTTAGCTACCCTTGGTACTGACAGGCTGCCACTGACTCAATTTCTTTAAGCATCAAGTCTAGAGACTGATAAGGAACTTCCCTATTGTCTGAGATCCTGGGGACCTATAATTTTCACTCAGATGACAGGAACTACAGCCACTGCAGAAAACAAGTAGAAATATTTTGTGCTGCAGACACAAGCATGAGTCAGTAGAAATCACATTCCTAGAGTGAGTCCAAGACTGGTTGAGTTTGGTGCACTGCTAAGTCAGGAGCCAAGATCATGGGCTCAATCTCTAGTAGGCCACTGGTTAGTCTACTGACAAATATACTTGTAGCCTCAGCCAGCTTTCCATAAACACGTGTCACAAGAATCTGACAAGAGAATCCAGATTTTGCAGGACTGACTTAATATCACTCTGGAAAATTACCTTATGTCAAGTACCCCACTAGCAATGAAAGCTCATTTTGGATCACTACCTTATTTGTATATGTGTGCATGCGCATGTCACAATGTGTCTGGAGGTCAGAGGACAACTTGTAGAAGCTGGTTCTCTCCTTCCACCAAGTGGGTCACAGGAAACAGAACTCAGGCCATCGAGCACTTTAAGCACTCTTATCCACTGAGCCAGCTCATTAGCCCCATCCTTACCTTTGAAGAGGTTTCCAATAAAACATGACTTACTGAATACATGAATGAATAAAAGGAAACTAAATTCAGGGAAGTGTGAAGACATTAAGGGACAAGGTCTTTACTAGAAGTAATTCATCCGATATTTTACTGAACACTTATGTGCCTAGAACACTAAACATACCTCCTGTCCTTGTGGTCCTTGCAGCCTGCACAGAGAGAAAGACATGCCCAGCCTTGCAAGGCCTATCAAGGAGTTTAGCCTCTATTCAAAGACAAAAGCTGCTGAGATTCAAAGCAAAAAGTGGCCATGGCAGTCAGATTTTTGTATTCAATAGCTCCCTCTGTCTGTGATCCAGCAAAATGATAGAACTTTTAGATGTGACAGGTGGTGGTGATAAAAGGCCAGGGTGGCAACTGCTGGGACAGGGCCCACAGACAGTTCTAAGTGTCCTGTTCCTACTTCTACTTAAGGTGAATGTCAATCTTTTCACAAAAACTATAAGCCAATAACTTAACATTTTGTTTTGTACATACATCTTCAGAGTTTTTCATAAAAAAAAAAAGAAGGTCATCTTAGGATATCATTTTAACACCTTAAACATTGAGGTCTTTTCATTAAATACTAAAATGATTGTGTCTTTATTTCACTTCCAGTTTGCAGACTCGAGTCTACCCTAGAGAACGCTTGCATTTTACTAATGAAGCACAAAGCATGTGCTTGGCTGTGCCTAGCAGTGGTTATCCGTACTCACTATGGGAGGACAGCTTTGCAGAAAGGATATCATCCAGCTCATAGCAAACTTTGTGGACCCTAATCCAAGGTTCCCCTAAAAAAATCAAGAAAATAGGTCAATAATATTCATGATATCTAAGTTGTATATAAAAGAATTCTCACTCCCAAATACACTTTTATCTCCTGATAAACCAAATCTCTTGAGTCAGTATTTGTTAAATAACCCAGGTGAGCTCTTGAGAGTACAAGTAATACCACATAAATCCATCAGTTTTGAAGAGTATCCCCAGTAAAAGCATCTTTACGCTATAATCATAATAAACGATCAAATAAGATACATAGTAAAGATGTGCTATACCTGCTGAAAGGCGAGAAGTATTTCATAGAACAGTGCGGTTGCTGTGTCTGTGTACTCCAGAAGAAGCTTCTGTAACTAGAATGTTCATGAATAAGCAATACAATTCCATAGGCTGAGCTAGAAAGCAGACATTTTTCTTGGTTCCTCTTAGATAATTATAAAATAATTTTTTGGTTAAAATTTTAATTTGTGAGGTCCATTTTCCCATTTTATTTGGTTCAGTCATTCTGAAAAAAAGTGGCTTTTGGCAGGCATGGTGAAGCACATCTTTAATCCCAGACTCTGGAGGCAGAAGTAGGTAGATCTCTCTGAGTCTACATAGTGAGTTCCAGGCCAGCAGTGAGAACAGGCCAGCAACTGTTACATAGTGAGACTCTGTCTCAAAAAACAAACAAAAAGGAATTATTAAATCATGTTCCATCCTTCAAAAAAAAAAATCAGTGTTGACTTGCCTCAAAATATATTAAGAAAAGCTGATTTATTCTCTTGGAAACATTTCATATATAGTTTGATATTTCTACAACCTTAGGAAAAATGGGTGACCCTTATTAGAATGAGCACTACTCTCACCTCCTTCTGCTTCCCTGGGCTGCACAACCCACCAGCCTCTTTCCTGGACATCGGGGCTGACCTCTGGGTCCCGGAACCACCACTGCTTCCTGATCCCTTGCATCCAGATGAACCCAATTCCTTCTCACAGACCCCAGGAGCCCTCTGGGTCTGGTCCCGCCCTCACCTCCCTCTGCTTCCCTGAGCTGAATAACCCACCAGCCTCTTTCCTGGACACCGGGGCTGACCCCTCTGCCAGACCCATCACTGCTTCCTGATCCCTTGCATCCAGATGAACCCAGTTTGTTCTTGTGGTCCCCAGGAGCCCTATGGGCTTGGTTCCACCCTCACCTCCCTCTGCTAGACCACTCAAGCAAAGATTATGAAAAATTTAAGAAAGCACAAGAATGGAGTATGCAGGAATTATGTGACACCATAAAAAGACCAAACTTATGAATCATAGGCATACAGGAAGGAGAAGAATCCCAAGATAATGGCATGGACCAGATCCTCAACAGAATTGTGGAAGAAAATTTCCCAAACTTAAAGAAAAACATGCCCATACAAATACAAGAAGCATACAGAACACCAAACAGACAGGACCAGAAAAGA